ATATGTCACCCATTAAATTGTTCAATTGGTAAGAGTCACCAATCCACTTAATTTCAATACTCAACCAGAATCCAACCATAAACCCCGCTCTGATACCAGTTTGTTGGATCTAAATACAGAATCAATGACTATTAAAATATTAAGTATACAATAATTTAAGAAAAAATAATTCAAAACGTCCCTCACATTTTGTAAAATAACTTTTTTTGTCCTTTACTTTTAAAAATGTAATTTTATGTTCCTTACAAATTTATATTAATCAAATTTGATCTTTACCTAAGTTTTCGACTAGTTTTTTTTATCGAAATTCATCACATGCATTGCATGTGATCATTTTTTAGGGACAAAATTGTTAAATCAAATTTTATATAATCCGATTTATAGTCTTTTATATTTCATAAAATGAATTATTACGTCTCTCACATTTCACAAAATAAATTTTTTCATCTCTCATTGATCATGTGTACAAATAATTTTTTTAAAATTTATGTATATATTTATTTGATTTCACGTGAATAATACAAATAGCATATAATATATCTCTATTTGATTTAACTTAAACAGACTAATTGTAATTGTACATATGCTATTCAATGGATATGTATATGGATTTAAATCTAATAATTTTGTTTTAAACTCATATATATATTTATTTAATTTCATCATGTAAATCTATTCAATATTTGTAATCATTTTTCTTTTGCTATAATTTATTTATTGAGTTGTATAGTAAGACCATCTAATAATCGGTTCTAATTCAAATTCTATAGTCATACTAATAAATTGCAATTTAAATTTAAAATTTTTACGTATCATTTTTAAGATCAACAATTGAATTTCTTACCTTGTAATTGTTTTATAATTTGAAAGTGTCAATCACTTATTTCTTTTTGTTATACTTTTTTTGTTTATTTTTCTATCCAAATTTAATTCGATATAAACATTTGATAATATTTAGGATTAAATATCTTTTTTAATTTCTATTTTCGAGTAAAAGAAAATGAATACGAGTGAAAAACTAACATTTTTTTGAAATTCATATATATCTCTATTTAATTTTATTTGAACAGTATGTTCAGGTGAAATCAAATAGAGACATATTACATACTATTCGTATTATTTAACTGAAATCAAATAGATATATACATGAGTTTTTTTTTAAAAAAAGTTATTCATATACACGATCAATGAGGGATGAAAAATTTTATTTTATAAAAATGTAAGAGATGAAATAATTCATTTTGTGAAATATAAGGGATGAAATAATTCATTTTGTGAAATGTGAGGGATAAAAAATTTTATTTTGGGAAATGTGAGGTACTATGAATCGGGTTATGTAAATTTTGATTTGACAATTTTGTCTTTCAAAAATGATTACGTGCAAGACACGTGGTGGATTTCGATAAAAAACTAGTCGAAAATCTAGATAGGGATTAAATTTGACCAATATAAATTTATAAGGAACGTAAAAGTATACTTTTAAAAGTGAAAGATAAAAAAAGTCATTTTACAAAATGTGAGAGATGTTTTAAACGATTTTTCCATAATTTAATGATAAATAAGTTACAAGTATGAAAGATAAGTGATATTCAATATTTAACGTGGTTCGATTTCATCATTGAATCTATATCCATAGCAAGAAAATGTGTTATTTATTATGAGAAAAAATTCTTATATAAGAATACAACTTAAATCCAAATCTAACTCTTATATACCATCTTCACCTATCAAGAACCATCTTTTACCCCATGTCTAAAGTTATATGTCACTCTCGTATGTTTCTTGCGTATTCCTTGTATACCACTTTATAGTATATCAATCCATCTATTTATACAAAATATTATTTGACCAAAAACTAAATAATAATAGAAAATCAATGTTAACTCTTACACTTATATAGAATAGGAAATAACTTTTAAATTCTAAAAAAAAAATTTTGGGTAATATTTTAAATAACTAAAATTAATTAGAAAAATAGTTACCTTCATATAAAATAAAAAATATGTTTAAAAAAAATTAGGCCAATTTCCTAACAGCAACAGCAGCTTCTGTCTTCTTCGTAGACTTTTCTGGCTGCGCAGTTTCGGCAGACTTACATAGACAAAAATCCTGAATCATGTGACTTATCAAAGCTTGAAGTTCGAAATATCGCAAACTTCAGATTTCTGCTCTGAGTTTGAGAGGAAGAATGGATAGCCTCATGGTTGTTCTAGCGTCACTGTTGTCCTTGACTTTGATCAAGGGCCTGAGTTCACTAGCAAGACGAGCCAAAAAGCATCCTCCTGGACCAACACCTTTGCCCCTAATTGGAAACCTCCACTTGCTTGGTGATCTCCCTCACCAGTCCTTAGCCAAGCTCGCTAAAATCCATGGCCCCGTCACGAGCCTAAAACTTGGCCAGTTAACCACAGTCGTCATTTCTTCATCAAGCATGGCCAGAGAAGTTCTTCAAAAGAAAGACTTGGCCTTCTCCAGCAGATCAATTCCTGATGCAGTCCATGCACAAAATCATTCCCACTATTCTGTGGTGTGGCTACCTGTCGCTTCTCGGTGGAGAAGCCTTCGTAGAATCATGAACTCCAACATGTTTTCAGCCAACAGTCTTGATGCTAACCAGCACTTGAGGTGCAGAAAGGTCCAGGAGCTGGTTGACTGTTGCCAAAAGAATTGCCAAACTGGTGAGGCAGTGGATATTGGCAGAGCAGGATTTATGACATCCTTGAATTTGCTGTCCAATACCATTTTCTCTAAGGACTTGGCCGATCCATATTCTGATACTGCAAAAGAATTCAAGGACTTAGTTTGGGATATCATGGTGGAAGCCGGCAAGCCCAACCCGGTTGATTTCTTCCCTCTACTTAAAAAGTTTGATCCTCGGGGAGTCAGGCGCCGCATGTCCGTTCATTTTGAGAAGGTATTGAAATTGTTTGAGGGTCTAATAAATGAAAGATTGGAGAGTGGAAATTCTGGAGACGAAGGGCGTGACGTGCTTGATGAGCTGCTTACTACGAGTGAAGAATCTTCCCAGGAGTTTGACAGGATTCATATGGTGCACATGTTCTTGGTCAGTACTCTTCTTAGTCCTTTTTTTTTTTTTTTGGCAATAATTACAATTGTATAACTTATTCGACCATAATCTATAGGGAGGGGAGCTTAAGGAAGTTTGTGAGTAAGAAACTAATATATATATAGATCTGATTAAATTAAATGAGTGCTATGACATTATTTTTAAATTTTTATTATAGATGAAATTTGAACCACCACCTACATTCAAGGAAAGACAAATCTCTCTCTGTGGCCACTGAGCCAAGCTCAGTGGTTCTTTCTGACTTGTCTTGACTCTTGTTGATTCCATGTCTTCCTTACTGGGCTTATTGCTTTGCGTTGATACTCGACTTTCTATGCAAATTAATTTTTTTATACCAAATCAAATCATATCGATATCCCACTTTTGAATTCTGTCCCTAACAGTTGGTAGAAGACAAAAGCCTGATTGAGATCGATGACCTTTTTTTTTTTCTTTTTTGAGATCGATTACTGGATTACTTGTTTGAATGCACAAGTGTCCCCATATTTAATTGTTTAATCCGCAGCTAAGTAATGCAATGCAGTGTGAATATCAGTATCATTGTGCTCTCTGCATGAGAAGTTCAAGCGATTTTTATTGCAAAATTTTCTCACGCAGCAATCATATATGTTACAGGACCTATTTGTAGCAGGGACAGATACAACGTCAAGCACATTAGAGTGGGCAATGACAGAGTTGCTCAAAAATCCAGAGAAAATGAGGAAAGCCCAAGCTGAGATTGCAGGAGGCATTGGCAAAGGCAAGGCAATAGAGGAAGCCGACGTTGCTCGCCTGCCTTACTTGCAATGTATCGTGAAAGAAACCTTAAGGATTCATCCGCCAGTTCCATTCTTGATTCCGCGCAGAGTGGAACAGGATGTTGAACTGTGTGGCTACAACGTGCCTAAGGGATCTCAAGTGCTAGTAAACGCATGGGCCATTTGCCGTGATGAAATAGTTTGGGAGAATGCTTTGGTATTCAAGCCAGAGAGGTTCTTGGAATCGGAAATAGATATCCGGGGGCGAGATTTTGAGCTGATTCCTTTCGGTGCTGGGCGAAGAATATGTCCAGGACTACCATTGGCAGCTAGGGTAGTTCCGGTAATGCTCGGTTCGCTGCTAAATTCGTTCGATTGGAAACTTGAAGGGGGCAATACGCCAAAGGACTTGGACATGGAGGAAAAGTATGGCATTACATTGCAAAAGGCACTTCCCTTGCGAGCTGTCCCACTCCCTCTCTGAGTTCTGGTGTTCCAAATCCCAGCGAGCTCAAAATAGGGCCACCACAATATGAACATGATGATTTAATTGGCAGACTACCGATGTTGATGTAGATTATCTGAAATCTTGCAGCTTGTTTGCTATGAATAACGAGTGGTAAAACTATTATACAATCATCTAGGAGGGAAACTGTCAATGAGTTTTCGTTGTTTATTCTGGTGTAGCATCCCTTATCTTGCCCTCCCAAATAAAGGTTTGCATTATTCAGCGACAATAGATTCCTTGCCCTTCTTGCTAAAGAGTTGATTTCCCAGACATTCAGAAGAGAGAGAACAAATTAATTACTTTTACATTTCCCCCATCTTGAAAACTAAATGCGACTGATCACATCTTAATTACTTTTGGGCTTAACAACAACAAACTTTATAGAAGAAATACCGAAGGATTACCAATCCAATTGCTGAAATGTCGAGCAGAACTACCCAGGTTAGGCGTAGTCAAGCTTGTATCTATTTTATTTACTTTGTAATAGGCTTGTAGATGCAAATAAACAAAAGCGTGACGTACTCGTGGCTGTAACCAAATAGTGGACCTCGGTTGTAAATATAGACGAATCACTTCCTTTCAGTATAAATATAGCATACGGCAAGAATGAACCGAGTACCCAAAGAACAAAACATTTCCTTAGACGCAAATTGGGATCTAGCGGCAATGAGATAAGTGCCGGAAGTAGATATGGCACCAAACTGAAGATATCACTTTCATAATATATTTACGAGTTTACAAGAAACTAAAACACTACAAAGCTGACAACTATGAACAGCTACTAGTTAGGCGCCCAAGAAGGGCGTATTGAAATCAACAGCTTTAAGGTAAACCTGAGATATAGACACACCAGGCAACGCGGATCTTGCCAGATAATTGTTCTGTAGCACTGGGTGTCATATTCTCAAAAGAAGAAATGGCAGACAAATTATATGATTCAAGAAAAGTATGGAAGAGGGGATATCTAGTTGATTGGCAATGGTAAGTACATAAAAATCACTTCTCTGAAGGCATGTAAACCACTGTAGGACATGGATATTCACACCATCAGATATCAGCAATCATTTGCACCTTACAAAGTAAATTTTACGCTCATCCAGCTTGAAGGCATTGCTAATCAGCTGAGCATGGTTGGATGCCCAGTCTGAAGCATCCTCTTCAACATATCCATCCCAAATGCAGAATCTGATGAACTAAACAAGGCAGCACATAACTTAGCAGCTTCACGGTTTGCTTCAGCTATATATAACGAAGAGCTAAGAAAGAAGTGTCATTGAAATACTAGTAGTGATTAAATTAGCAAAGAGGATAGTCAACCATTCTAAAAGAACCCCCCCAAAAAAAAAACATGGTTCTCATTGTCCAGGGCAAAAGGACTACGAAATCATTACCATCCACCAGGGATCTACCCATGAAATGCCATGGCAATCAAACTTTGATGACCAATAAGCAATAGCTTTACCTACCACCCGGAAAAAGCATTACCCAGATACCATGAATTTACGCTATTTTATTGCCAAACATCAAGGTTTACCCCTCTGTGATTCTTTTAGCAATTACAGAAACTTTTTAAAATTCGACAACATAAATCGCAATTGTAAAGGTCTATTTGCAAGGTCCCAGAACAAAGAGAAGGATTTGTAGAAAAACAATGACATAATTTTGCATGTTGACTGACTTCACAACATACACTGCACTTCAATAGAAAGAAAGACAATTTTGACCTTGTTTACACTGCATAAAAATGCAGCTAATACTTTGTATATTTTCCCACCCTCAAGTTGGTCAAGATGTTGAGTTACCTTATTACTGTGTGCCAAATCATCGAAAAAACCTGCAGTATCAAGGTTTTTCAAAGTTTTTTTCTTTTTTGTTCTTTACCTGAGAAATATTCAATGACATATATTCAATCAATACCATGCATATAAGCGACTTGGTTAAGACAATTTTTAGAGTTCAATGCTTTCTAAACAGCTTTGTTTCTGCATCCTGCATCCCTTGAGAAAAAGAGGCCTGACCCCCTAAAAATTGCAGCATTAACATGGTAGTTTAAACCACTCACATGAAATCCATCTCAAATCATCTACACAGGCATCAATGTCAATGAGAAAAAGGAAAAGAAAACGTAAAGAGAATGGTGCAATTTGCAGAGATTAAGGGAAGTAAAGCAAATATGATAACCTTAATTTTACATGAACATCTTCTTCAGCAGAACAATTACCTTGAGATAGTAATCTCGTAAGGAAATGAGACACCATCAAGATTTGGAATTGGGGGAACATGATCCTTCTTCTCATTTACAAATTTTATTATCTGAAATAAAACTTCACGGAGAGATGATTCTAGCGCTGTCCGACGAGCATTCCTCTCCTCTGAGGCAGTTTCTGCAATCGTCGACAGAGAAAGAGGCAGTGATTCTTTTAATCCCTTTAGTCAATGGACATTAAGACTTGTTATAACAAATTGCCAGGACAGAGAAAGTACCTCCTGGATCAACTACTACTTTGGGGTGATGAGACTTCCCAGAATGTGTCTTTGGATGTTGTACTGTATTCAAATTTATGTACCATTGCTCCCAGTAGTGACGCTCAACTTTGTTAGTAAACCATGTTGCCTGTTTGTTCTTAACTTCATAGAAAGACAAACATATCTGCATTGTGTTTGATGTATGTCAATAGTCTGGAAAACTAGTAATTTATTTCGTGTCATAAAACTGGAAAAATGTAAAATACATAAAACAAATGTACTCAAGATATGCAAACTGCTGTTCTGAAAGGACCACCTTTGTATAATCTAAGCAAAGTGCAAAAGACAGAAGAATCAAATAAAAGAAACCAAAATAAGCCTAGTTCTGCAAAACAAACACAAGCAAATAGGTGAACTGACAGCCAATGCTTGCTAATAAGAAAATTGTGCTACCATTTCGAGGTGATCACTTATCACCAGGAATTTGAATAGGTTTCAAGGCATAAATGACATCTATCTCAGACTTGGTTTTTCAAACTTCATCCTTTAGGCAAGGACTTTCATCAAGAACAAATATTCTTCTCTATGCAAACATAAATTATAACAAGACCAATAGCCAGTGCACCCCTCAATGATTACAAGATCTGTTCCTGAAAGGAGGGTGGTAGACAGACTTCCAACATGTTTTCAGTAAAACCAGATGCCCCCTACCCTCCAGAAATGATTGCCTCTTCACAGAGTTGCATGTTAAAATGTGTGAAGCTTGTGCTTCTTGCAATTACAAAGTCAAAATAACTTAAGTAAATTACCAAACAAAATATTCTTTTGCCATCAAGTTGTAGATCTGTCAAACACTTTGACATTTTAGAGCATCAAAATGAGCACAAGTAACCCATTATCAATACCTCGATAGAATCCAGAAGAAATCATCCCAATTTAAATTGTAAAAACTAGAATGCCTTATAATGGGATCAAATAATCATTTAGTATATTAACATATCATATATCATGCAAGTACACAATATTATGCTGTCTCAAAGTCAGTGACAATTATGAACCTGATTTTTCTTATTGGGGTGCTTCTCCACCCTGTCAATGAAGTGGTCAATCTTCTCATTTATTTTCTTTTCATGTTCAACATCACCACACTGTACCTGAAGATTAAGAAAAGAACTTCTCAATAAGTATACTCAATATCTAAAATGTTAATAAAAGTTCATAGACTCACATAAGTGATGTCAAAGAGCTCCAAGTCAACATCCTTTGGCCGCACGAGACCTAAAGCTCTGTGGAATAAAATAGTGTGTAGAATGCCTGCAAATTTTCACCTTAGGATTACTTATAATAATAGAACAAAACTTTAGAAGCTACCCACCGAAGTTATGAAAACACAACAGAGCATCAACCTCTAGAACAGCACGAAAATAGTAATCACTATACAACATACAACTACGCGAGTGTAAAGAAGCATCAATCATTTTCATTAGTTAATCTCCAATCCCGGTAACACTACATGATTTTTGTGAAAAGTAAATTGGTAATACTTGTTTGGATTAAAAGGAAATTTGTTCACTGGCATTACCAGTTGCAAAGGCTACTAACGATTATATTGGAAGAACAGTAATTGTATGATAACTTCAGCTAAACTAGAAATTAACTACTAGATATGTGAAATGGAAAACCAAGCGATTTACAAACCCGTAATACAACTAAAATGGAACAATGTCACTATTACAGACTCACAGTCCTAAAAATCATCCAAGTAAACTTTCACTTCCACTTGAAACTTGCAAAAGTTTCAACTTTAAACTAAAACCATAAGGTAATCTACAAAACCAGCTAGACAGCGTATCACGTAAAAGCTTATTCATAGTTCTCATCAACAACAAACTGAGCAGAAATAAGAGGGAGATGAACATCAGAAATTGACTCACATCGCAAAACTTCGCGTACCTCAATGTGCTCCACTTCCTGCATACAAAACACAATTGCATAGAATAAATTAGTATAAAGTAATGCTGCTTAGCTTCATCGGCGGTCAAATAAAACTGAAAAACAAAGTCAAAATTTTTAAACCTGGCGAGGTTCTGGTGGTCCAAGGCTTACCAGTTCTTTAAGCTGGCAAACTTCGCAATTCATGACGGCGTGGCAACAAGAGGAAGATCGACGATCACTGAATTATTGGACAGGAAAATTTGATCGGGGAGATGAATACCCTAAGCCTAGTGAGATGTATCCTCCTGTTAGTTTGGAGACGGAGAAGTAATTTGTTCGGCCTTTCCCAGCCGGCGAATATGGGGCAATCTGGTTTCTATCAGGCCGGGGACAAATCGGTTCCGTCGTCAGAACTCAGATGGTCGACTGAAAGAGTAAAGACTCTGTTGCTTCTGCAGCACCCCCCAACAGGGTCAGTGGATTAAATATTTTTTTTAAAAAAAGGAAAGTAATGGCAGAATTGGCAATGGGACTCTCTCTCTTTTTTTTTTTCTTTAAAAAAAAATCTGGAGGACTTCTCAGTTTTATTTTTATAGGATGAACTTTTATCTGATTTTGAGTTTCACTCTCAGCTTTATTGTGAATTCTGAATTATGAAAGAAGCAGTGCGCTTTTGTACAACCGCCATTCCTTCCTTAAAAGACAGCAATGCCCCTATCGGTTTTGTGTATGAAATTCTCACCATCAGCAACTTAAAAAAAATGGAGAAAAAAAATCAAGTCAACATGTACAAACCTGCAAACCATATGATCTTTAAAACATGAACAAACTCTGGGCCTCTTTGGAACCTGAGTTTTTTGGGAGTTTGTCTAAAATTTTACTGTAGTGCACTGTAGAAGTTTTTATAAGGTAAAAAATTTTGTAGAAGTTTTTGTAAGGTGAAAAACTTTTTTTTCTTCTTTTTTCCTTTTCTTTTTTTTTTCTCTTTCTCTTTCCCTTTCTTTTTCTTTTTCTTTCTTTCCTTTTTCTTTTCTTTCCTCTCTTTTTCTTCTTCTTCTTCCCCGTTACCTCCGCCACCCCAGCAACCTGCCAGCAACCGCCACCCCCCTCTGCCGCCGGCCTCCTCTGCCCCGCCTTCCTCCTCCCCCCCGCCCCCCTCTGCCCCTTCCTCCTCCCCCCGCCGCCCCCTCCCCTCCGCCACCCCCCAGCAGCATTGCCTCTCTGCCCCGCCACCCCTGCCTCTCCTGTCCCCTTCCCGCTTCTCACCATCTTTATCAAGAGCACAGTGATGAGCAGGTACAGGATCCAGCAAGACGGGAGGAAGGAAGATTCGAATGAGAGAACGGCCGACAATTACTTGGGTTAGGCGGCTCAGTGAGACAGGGAAGGGCGAACGGCTCAGGGAGCCAAATACATGAAGAAAGTTATACTGTAGAGCTCTCACTGCTTGACTGCTTCACTGCTATAGTGAAGCTCTTACTGCCTCTCGTGAGAGAGATCCTTGAGTGGAACCGAGGCCGCTGGAAGTTGTTAGTCTTTCTTTTTTTTTTTTTCCACAGAGAGGTGGGGGAGGAATGGCACCGGACGTAGAGAGAAAAAAAAAAGACAAGAGAGGAAGATGGCAGGGAAGGAAGAGGGGGAGAGGGAAAAAATGGGGAAAAAAAAGAAGAAGACCGACACCGGCACCGGAAATTGGCGTGGGAACCGGCGACGGAGCCGGAAATGGAGGTGGTGGTGGGGGAGGAAGGAGAAAAGGGGAAGGGAATTTTTTTTTTTTTTGTGTTTTGGATATTTTAAGTGTGTAGGTTAAAAATTTTGATAAATTTTTGGGGGTTCCTGTAGCACAAGTTATTAAAAAACTAGTATAATAAAAACTTGGTAAAAAACAGGGCTTCCAAACAGGCCATCTATTTTGCATCCATGAATTTGCATCAATTCCTCACTTTACACTCATGAATTTTAATTTTAGACATTTTGCACCATAAACTTTTAATTTTGAATACTTTAAACCCTAAACTTTCAAATTTGCTCTATTTAAATTCAGTCAATGATAACTTTTACAAACTTATCAACATAAAGAACCCAACAAATCAATGATAATATGTCGAAAGTAACCAAAAGTACCAAGGTATTTTTAAAAAATCATTGTCATTAATTTTCATCATCTTTTAATTTTCACTCATTTAAAAAAAAAATAGTGTGTTTGGATGGCCAAATAATGGCCAAAAATTATTTACTTACATCACCAATACAATTTTCAACACACCTTTTTATCTTCCTAATTACCTTTTTATCTCACATACATCACATCACAAAAAATACTACATTAATTATTTCAAATAATATTCCAAACTAGTAATTGATACGATATAAATCAATAATAATGTGCTAAAAATTGTCAAAAAAAAAAGCTAAGGAATCGCAATTAAAAAAGATACATTATCATCAAATTTCACCGCCCTTTATCTCGTTTATTTTGTGAATATAATCATTGATCGAATTTAAATAAGACAAATTTAAGTGTTTAGGATGCAAAGTGACCAAAATTAAGAGTTTAAGGTATAAAGTGTTCAAAAATAAAATTCAATATGTAGAGTGAGAAAAGTGATATAAGTTTAGTCCTTTAATCGTTGCCAAAGTTCTGCAATTCAATTCAAACTGTTTTATTTTAATGGCGGACATATCAACATGTAATTCAATTCAATTTTTTTTTAAAAATTTTCGTGGTGGGCAAATCGACATCTTATTAGAGTTCGAAAATTCATTTATCTTAAGCACGTCGTCCATATTCTTGATACAAAAGCATTGATCGATTTTATTTTTTTAATTTTGATTTTCTTTCAACACATATGTACTAAATGCGTAGAGGTGTGCCAAGAGAGCTCATTTTTTTTGTGATGTGCCAAAATGTTATTGGACGATTTATGGTCGTCCTTGTACGTGAGGATTGCCCCTGTTTGTGCAAACAAAAATTCCGAATGGAAATGTTATTACTCTATTTTTCAAATGAATGCTGCATGCCTTCACTTTCCCTGCACCCGATTGGACCCCTTTAGCAGCATTTTTGTTTCGGCTTTTCCATATGTGTTAGGACTTGATTGTCATCACTGTAATAACTGAGCTTAGTTGACTATAAGGACAGTTATATTACAATTTTGCCCTTCCATTATAATTTTCTTACCGGCCATAACAAATTCATTTTGTTCTCACCGTTTCCTTCTTCTTCTTCATGTTCATGTTAGGAGGTCAATTTCTATTTACCTTTGGGTTGTCTTTGTAAAAAACCATAATTCTAATCGCTGTTGACGGCTATTGGAAGGAGGACTGTAGCAGTTTCTTTGTTCTGTCCAACCCACCGTTGTTTCTTTGCTCTGTCCAACCCACCGCTGCAGGTAGAGCTATGCATTGTTGCCGGCATTTTCTTCTTGTGCTAATGGTTAGTGATGTCTTTAATTTTTCCATTCTTTTTTGTATCATTGTTTATAGCACAACATCCTATTTTCTCTTTTACATGATTGTCTTTGGGAGTTGCTTTGTTCGATTCTCATTTTCTTTTTTATTGCTCTGTTCCTTCGAAACTGCTTCTTCGTTTTGCTCTCTTTCATAAAGATTGGTCAAATGAGCTAGCTGCCAACCGACGTTTTATCCATCAGAATAGACAGAACAAGGTGAACATTTTTTTGCCCTTTGTATTTCTTTCTTGTGCAATTTTGTAGATTTGATAGGAACCTGAGCCACCTAGGTTCTTTTTTTCCCTCGGTTTATTCAAATAATGGTGATTGATAGTTCAAAGATGGAGTATATGGATTTAAACATATGGTCTTTGGATTATTCAGTTTTAGAAACTGATTTGGAAATCCCTTCTTTTACCTGAATTTTTCATTGCAAAGTACAACTTTGGAGCTAATAGAACTAGGAAAAAAGATGGAATAGCGTAAGATAAGAAATTCAGGAGGGGGAGGGTATTGCAATATAGCAAGCTATATATCTTGCTAGATTATATAGAGAACCCAAATGATGGTCCTGATGCAGTCCTCGGAGGTATTTTTATCACTAGAAAGCAGTTTTATGTGTGTCGTTTGCTGATGGGCTTCCCAGTTCCCCTAACATGTATATCTTACTTTTGTTTTGGAATCACAATGTGCAGTAGGGAAATGACAGGAAGTATCAAACGAAATTTATTCACAAGTGGTTCTTGATATCCTGTGGTCTATCATAATGGCTGGAAGTTACTTTGGTAGTTTTAGTTTGCTTTTTTGTTCTTGATATGGAGTATTCTGGCTTCACATAGTGGTGTTTTGCACGGCATTCACTAGGTGTGCGTCTTCTCAACAACCTATATAGTTTACATGTTTCTTTTTACTCTAACATCACACCAACCCTCAATGACCAATACAAGACAGGGCATAATTGCATTGATCTACGCGCAGTCATACCCACCTAGTTGTAAACTAAGCATACTAGAGATCGCCATCGCGGGAAACAGTATGAAAAGGGACAAGAAAAATGAAAAATAAAAAGAAGGCAGAGAAAGTAGGCAAAGGGCTTGATTACTAGTATTCCCAAAGGCGGGGAGCCAAGAAGAAGCTATAGCTCACCTCCCGAAGAAAAGAACAGAAACTGGTTCCACGCCACCATGGAAATTTGATTACTAGCCTGAGATGATTTCCCGAAACTGAGAAAAGCCGACGAACATCCAAATTCAAACGCCAAAAGTGATCAGCAAATTAAACTCGTCTAAATCATACGAACTCCATTGACCAAAAAAATTCCAAAAGTCTCTCAATCCAGTTTGGATTACACTTTGTTGTTGTTGTTTTTTTTTTTGGAGTTTTTCTTTAAAAAAAAAATGAAGTACGCAAGGTGTCAGGCCCTGAAAATAAAATGCGTTAATTTAGAATTTTTTTTTAAAAAAAAGACGCTGAAGGCTTTTGCTCCTTTGGCTCCTCACGAATACTAAGCATGTGTTTGGATTGCATTTTCTGTGATTTTTCATGGAAAAATTACTGTAGCGATTTGATGTATGTGAGGGAAAAAGGTAATAGAAAAATGTAATCACGGAAAACGACGTAATTTTTCGACGAAACCGGCAATCCAAACAAGGCCGAGTATTCTCAACATTCTCTTTTCAGGGTCAAATTTTGGTTCTGTCCCACTATTGGTAACGTGGGAAGGCAAGATAGACAATGAATGCTCTCATTTTCCATTTGTCTTTCAACTTTATTTACTTGCTCATGCTTGTAATTGGCTTAGCGTTCTTTACACACAGTCCAAAGTCGTGATTCGTGAAAGTTATTAGAAGTATATATGCATTAAGTATTGGTGATGATGTTATACGCATAAAGAAGATGTTCAGTATACACCACTACAATTACTGACAATTCATTCGAGATTATCAAAGTAACAAGTAATCATGATCAAACTGATGGTGCAGCTTAATCTTAATTTGCTTTACGGGAATGAAAAACTGCTGGATGATCACAGGCATGCATGCCATGATCTTCTTTTTTTACAATGTAACGTACGAAGACGATACTGGCAAAGGAACCTGAATAGGGTTATGTTGGTATAGACCACCTACTTGTGAGAAGAATGGTGTACTTATGGGCCGAGA